ACAGGACGAACCCTTTTAACCTCATCCGCATCTTTCGTGATCTCGATGCACTTTTCCAACTTCCACTGAAGCCAATATATTGTTTCTTTTGAAGAGTTTCATCAAGAATAATGTCACGATTTTAGAAGTCATCTCTTCCTAGGATGCTTAACATAAGTATTCTATTACGTTTTCATCTACTCTATGAATTCTAATCTATTAATAAAAATATAAATAACATACTTTCTTGTTCAGCAATACGTTTTTTTATATCTTCATGATGTGATGAAAGAACAGCAAGTAATGTTAAAGCTGATGAACGTATTTGTACAAGTACGGAATCATCAATATGTTCATCAAGAATTTTTGATGGTGTAAAAATATATAAAAATAATTTACTTAATAATTGTTCTGTATACATAGCTATATGATGTAATGTACTATTTCCATTAAGTAAATAAATAAGTGTATCAAGACATTCAATATACAAATAAATACATTTATTTGTAATTGATTTTGTACATAAATGTATTAATGTTGTTAAAGAATCAAGAGCAACAAATGAATCATCAGCTAATAGCACCTTTGTTTTACAAAGATTAACAAAAAATTTTGACGCATAATATGATATAACAACCGGTCGATTGATTTTAGTTAATAAACTTGATACTATTTCACATAATGTTTGATTTGTTTCAGTATATGTTATACTATGTAAATGCTGAGCAATGAAAGGATTTTCGTAACATAAGGAACAGAAAAATTTTAAACAAACACCAATAATATATTCATTAGTAAGACTAAAATATTAAGAAATAAAACTAGGAATTTTATTTGATATAAGAAAATGAAGTAGCGGTTGAACTAGAAGTTTCGAAAAATGAAGAAATGGTTATAAGGTAAAATTACTTCAGGAAATAGAAAATGCCATTGATGTTTATCATAATTTTAGGATCTTGAAAGATGCGCACGAGTTTGAAAGGGTTCGTTTTGTTTCCACACCCCATCCGCATCTTTCGTTTACCCATCATTTTACTTATCACTATTCCTCTATTGTGCAACTGGATTTATAGAAAGTATCACTGAAAACAAGTTTTTCTCTAGGATTAGTCTCATATGACCAAAATAAAACTTAAGTCTATGGTGTATTGTAAGATTGAACATACAACACAGTAAAATTTGCTTTACAGTACGTTTGTTTTTGTATTCATACATCTAAGTACGATATATAATTTAGACTATTTATTTACCTGACAGAAGTAATTTTATTATTATTATTTTGTTGTTTATCATAGATATTTTGTACAAGTAGATGCATGATAGTTGGTATACAATTTTTATCAAATAATTGTTGTTGTCGTTCATTATTAACACATAAACAACATAGAATTTCTACAATTGATAATTGTGTTGATTTCGATAATGATAATGATTGTAGAAGTATATCAATTGATTGAGAATTTTCAAATAAAATATCAATCGGTGAATATTGTTCGATAGTTGTAAGTTGTATAGTTGAAGAAGATTTTTGTGTTTGTGTTATTAATGATGGAGGTTTATGTTTATCTTGATCACATAATAATAC